CTTTTGGGCGGTTGACCTCATGATCTTGAAAAATTGCATGCACTTATCTGCTGACTTTGATATGAACCTATGAAGAGCTGCCACTCTTCTAGTTAACCTCTATATATCTTTCACTAACTTTGGTGGTTCCATCTCGGTAATTGTTCTGATCTTTTCTAAATTGACCTTAATCCCTCTTTGAGAAACCATGAAGCTTAGAAATTTCCTAGACTCCACACCGAAGATGCATTTGGCTAGGTTTAACCGCATTCTATTTTTTCTAAGATTATTGAAAGTTTCATCGAGATCAGCTAAATGATCTTCTGCTTTTAGGCTCTTTATGACAATATCATCGACATAAATTTCCAGATTCCTGCCGATCTGGGCTTGGAAGACGATGGTCACCATTTTCTGATAAGTTGCACCTGCGTTCTTTAAGCCAAATGGCATCATGACATAGCAATAGATTTCATCACCAGCATAGAACGAGGTTTTCTCTTCATCCTCCGGAGCCATCGGCACCTGGTGATACCCATAATATGCATCCAAGAGACTTAATCTCTCATTTCCCGAAGCCTCTTCAACCAATTTGTCAATGCTCGACATCGGATAGCAGTCCTTGGGGCAAGCTTGGTTGAGATTTGCGTAATCAATGCACATTCGCCATTTACCATTTGCCTTTTTAACCAGCACTAGGTTAGCCACCCATTTGCAATAGTCAACTCTTCTAACGAAACTAGCTTGTAGAAGCTTCTCTACCTCTTCCTTTATGACTTACAGCCTCTCCCCCTCGAAGAGACGTCGCTTCTAAGCTATTGGTTTTTTCAATGGATTAATGCTGAACTTATGTTGAAATACCGAGGTTGGAATTCCTGGCATATTTGTCGAAGTCCAAGCGAAGACGTCATTGTTAGCTCGAAGAAAAGCTATTAGCTTTAAGAAAAGCTATTAGCTCTAAGAAAAGCTATTAGCTCTGCTCTTTCCTCTGGGCTCAATCGAGTTCCAATTTGCGTCTTTCGGCTTGGATCTCTGTTGTCAATGTGCACCTCCTCGACATCTTCGACTGGAGTAGCTCTGGTTTCTTCTTTAGGTCAGTTGTTTATTATCTCAACTCCCATGACTTGCTGATTGTCAGGAATTCGTTGAGGAATGACTTCCTGCGTCTATTCTTTATCTTTGTGAGGTCTTGCGATCGAAGTAATATAGCAATATTTGGCCACCTCCTGGTTGCCCTATAATGTTACTATCCCTATAGGAGTTGTAAACTTCATGCAAAGGTGAGATTGGGAAACCACAGCTTAGATTTCAATCAGCATGGATCGACCAATAACAACATTGAAAGAGGATGCCATCTTGACAACTAGAAACCGAACTAAAGGGGTAACATACGTTCGGCCACTTTCAAAAGCAACATTTATGATAAGAACTCCTTTTACCTGAACAGGTTAGTTGTTGAATCCATAGATGGGACCATCGTACCGCCGCAACAAAGCTGGGTCCAGCCCAAGACTCTCAAAACAGTGGAAGTACATGATGTCTGGTGCACTCCCTGTGTCAATAAGGACACATTACACTTCACAATTGTTAATCATGATAGAAGTGACCAGAGAATCATTGTGGGGTGTGACAACTGTGTTGAAATCAGCAGATGTGAAAGTAATGGGTTGATTCTTCCAGTCAGCATCGTTAAACTTCCGTTTTTTAGCTCGGTTTTGATGTTTGACCTCTCTGACATATAACTTTCTCTGTTTGGAGCTCAACCCTCCTACTTCCAGTCCTCCCATAATCATGTGTATAATTTTGGCTGGTGGTGAGAGCGGAGGTGGGGCTTGCTGATATCCCATGCCTTGCTTGTTTGGTGGATTACGAACTCCTTGTGGCTATGACCCCTGTTCTCTGACAAATCTTGGCTGTTCAGCTCTCTGAATGTACTCATTCAACATTCCTTTCTGAGCTAGACTTTCTAGTTCGGACCTCAGACTATTGCATTGCTTTATTGTATGACCGTGATCTTGATGAAAATCATAATATCTAGTATGATCTCGGCTAGCAATAGCAGTTCTCATTGGGCTCGAATGCCTTAAGTCCATCTTATTCTTAATCTGCATGAAAATTTTTGACCTTGGCAAATTAAAAGGGGTCTAAGCAATTGGAGGTTTACCTGCAAATTGTTGTGGAGGTGCTGAGTTCGACTTTCCGAATCTTGGTGTGGAGGTCGACATCGGACCTTGGTTTTGTGCTGTCCTCATCCATTTCCTACTCTGATTCTCATCTCTCCAGTCTGGGTTTTAGTTCTTAGAGGGGGTTGGCTTCTAAGACAAGGCATATTCCTTAGCAATTATGAATTTTAGGGATCTATCATTCACCTCGTTAAAGGTTGCAGCAAGATGCTTGATCAAACTGTCTCTGAATCTCTCATGGTTAAGACTTGAAATCACAGCTGCAATTCCCACAGTCTGGCCGATGGAGCTAACTTCCAACACTGCATCATGAATATGCTCATGTAATTCTTCAAAGATTCTCCATCCCTTTGTTTAACTCGCATAAGCTCAGAAGTAGTTTTCCTGATCAGCCTTCTATTGGAAAACTTTCTAGCAAAAGCAAATGCCATTTCTGTGTAAGAGCTGATTGACCTTGGAGGTAGGTTGTAATACTAGGTTCAAGCATTACCTTGGAGAGTAGAGAGAAAGATTTTGCACATCAATGCGTCAAAGGCGTTCTGAGCTTGCATACAATAGTAGAAAGCATGTGGATGATCATCGGGATCCTTCATCCCATCATAAGTCTCAAGCTGAGGTATTTTAAAGCCAACAGGATAGGGTTCCAATGTGATGTTGGTGTTCAGAGGATGGGGTATGGAGTCAGCAATATGGTGTGGAGGTGGGACACCTCGTTGTTCGCCTACCAATTTTTCTAAGCTGTCCAGACGTCGAGTGACATCATCAGGAAGGGGTTGCTGAGCTGGTGCTATGTGAGACTAGCCCTGAGACTCACTGAGAGTGGGAGCATGCTGAACTAGTTGGGGGTCTTGCTGTGGAGCTGAGGGTTGTGGAGTAGGGTTGAGTAAATTGATGAGGGGATCACCAGGATTATTATGAGCTAAAAGCTGAGCCAATATTGACTGAAAGACATCAAACTGTTGTTGCATGGTAGCAAGTTGAGCTGTAACTACATCTGGATTGGCAATGGAAGCTAAGTTGTGAGCTGAGTTGTGGGGTTAGTTTTCATCTCCTCCTTCTGCATGATCACCAAGAGGGAACATATTGGGATCTGAGGTGGAAGGTGAGGTGGAAGGTTGTTGGGGACTTGACCTTGTCCAAGAGGCTAAGATGGATTTCCAGCTCGGACTAATCGAGTGTTAGCCATGATGAGAGAGCAACAAGAGAGTTTTCAGTTTCGATTCCTACAGACGGCACCAAATGTAATTGCACCAAACTAGAGATCCTTCTTCAATCTACGTCTTTACTTCGGATAAACCTGCAAACCCCCGAGGTGGGTCCTCGGGGTAGACACTCCGATACTTAAGTCAGCAATAATCGAGTCTATCTCTAGATTAATAAAAAAGGAACTTTAGGATGGTTTCAATTACCTTTTTGACGTGGCCTCTAGGGGGTATTTATAGGCCTTCATGAGGTATCCATGTGGCTTGCTTAGCAGGATTATCGGAGTATGACATGTCCTTTAAGGAGATAAATTAGGGACCGATGGCAAATCCGGGTCCGGGGAATTATGTGATAAATCAGGTATGGGTATACCCACTGTATTTATCGTGCAGCCGTTTGACCGGAAGTGTTGGATTTAACTTCACTTCGGCTATTAAGGAATTGTTACAGTACGTCCGAGATTAAGGACCTCGGACCTATCCTTACAAATCTACTTAAAATAGATTTCACAAAAATATAATGTGGCATGACATAATTTATTAAATTTAAATTGATCTATTTCAATTAAAAAGTATATTAGTTAACTTATTTCAACATTAAAGTATGTGAATTGAATTTTTTTTTTATATAAAAAAAGTAGATAAATGGATTTCAAATAGCTCAAAAAATACACGAGTTAATATAACCTTTCTACCCTAATAAAACTTTACTTGTTTTAAAATTTTTTAGGCCTTAATGCATTCTGAACCTTAATAACAACAA